ACACACACACACACACACACACACACACACACACACACACACACACACACACAGCACTCAGGCCTTGTCCATCAGAATTTGATCTGGTGACCCTTGATTTTGAACTGTTATGGCCTTTTAACAATGGACACACAGTGTTCCTCAATGACACACATGAGTTATTTTCACTGAGAGTGTGAAGAATGCTGTGTGTGAGAAATATATATATATATATATACACATACATAGTCAAGTCACCTTTATTTATATAGTGCTTTATACAATACAGATCGTGTCAAAGCAGCTTTACAGTGTCAAACAGGAAAAACGTGTGCTGATAATGCAAGAAGACAATAGATAACAGTCAGTTTATCAGTTAAAGTCAGTTCATTGTTGATTCAGTGATGTCATTGTCCAGCTATATATTAATAATAAATATTGATTGAATTAGTGCTTTTTTAATCAGATAATTGTATGTATACTCATATTAATAGTCACTGTTTCTCTGTGATATTTTGTAGCAATATATGCAGGATTGGCTTCTCCATGAGGCATGTGTGTGATGCTGCTGTAGAATTGGGTCAAATCAGGCTGTGCACGTACAGTATACTTTGGGGTTTAGTGCACAGTTTGGATTTAATGCTCATAGACAATTTTTTTAACTAGTTACATTATTTTTTAAATGTGGCCAGTATCAGATACCAGTGTGAAAAGGTCATGGTCCTGAACAGTGACAAAGATGGCACGCAGCACGCTGTCATAAGGACTTAAACACAGACAATTCTTGAGCAGATGAGGATGAGTGGAAAGAGATCAAAAACTGTAATTATTTAGGATTCGACCACTCAAGTTCTGCTCGTATAGAGCTGTCACTGTAATAACGGCTCACTGTCCCTCCACCGTCTCTAATCAAACAGATCAGGTTCCTTGTGGATTGTGAAATCTCATATGAGATAAAAAAAAATCTGATCTTTTGCTGCAGTCTGAATGTAGCCAAAGTGTGGAAACACAAATAGATTTGAGCTGTTTTTGTCAATCGATGTTTTATGTAAAAACAGTACTTTTTATCTTTTTGTCTAGTTCTTCCTTCCCAGCCCCATGACATTACAGCTGAAGAAATCACTAATTCAAGTATCCGTCTGTCTTGGCACATGGGCTTTGGAGGAATTTATCCCATCAGCCACTGCATTGTTCAGGTACCTGAAAAAAAAACATCTTTCAATAGATCCATATCAGAATGAGTGATTGTGTCAATATGTGTGTGTTTGTTTCTATCATTTGACTTTGACAAGCTTGTGACGTGTCTGTTTTGTGAGTCAGAACCCTTTTCCTACACACACATGCTGCTTAATCATGCTGTGGAGTATCACATTTCACACATTGAGAGAGGCCCGTTCCACTCACTGCTGAGGCCCAGTTCCCCATGTTCTGGGGCCCTGTTAGGACGAGTGTGTGTGTGTGTGTGTGTGTGTGTGTGTGTGTGTGTGTGT